AAAGTCTGATGATGAACCACAAAAAACAAAGAAGCCTGAGACTAGTCTACAGAAAATGCTTCAGACCTGGTTCAACAAATGTATACCTAATGTGGACTGTTCAGTGAAAAGGATCCTAAAAGATGGGCGTGTTGTGATAAACATTAAACCAGCTCCAGGTGTAAACTCCTACATAATCATCTGATTACTCTCTTATCTTTATAACTTCTCCAAAGAAAGCATTTATTTTTATTTCATTCTGCATATTTATATTGGTTTCAAAAAAGAATCCATTTTGTCTCTGTCTTTTAAGTCCTGACTAAACTTCAGAAACTGAATAAACAAACACTAACTGGGAAGGATGGAGATTTAGTCACCATAACATCCATCAATCTGACACTGCCATCTCCAGAGCTTGATGCACAAATACCAGAGGATGCTTCAAGGAACCCTTCTGCATCTGTGCCAGATCGACAAACTGTATGTAACATGTAGTAAATTATTAAAAACCAATATAAATGAATTCTGTTAAAATAAATGATGTACTGTATTTGTAGGATCAGGTTCAACTGGGAAAGCAAAGTAAAGCAGTTTCAGCAGGTGGAGAACAGACAGGTGCTTCAGAGGATGCTTTGACAAACCATCGTACATTTGTGCCGGCTCCACAAACTGTATGTACTGTGTAGTAAATCATTAAAAATACACACACGTTGTTGTTGTTGCTGTTGTTGCTCATTTTTTTATTTGTTTATACCAGGACCAAGTTCAGGAGGGGAAACAGAGTAGCACAGTTTCTGCAGGTGAAGAGATTTGCACTTGTTCCATCCCAGTGGGTCATTTCTGGTATGTGAACCACATGTACGAAGAGGAAATGCAACATATAGAAAAAAAGAATGGGGTTAAAATCATGGCAGATGTGAAGGTGAGATTTGAAGAAGACCAAAAACATGGGAGCCCAGACAATGCTCTCGAGGAGTTTGCAAACCTTGTCCAGAAAAGCTTAGTTGAATCCAGTGGCTCAGTTATTCCTTTCAAGTTCATAGAGTCAGAACAGTGGGGCGATGCACTGAAAACAATCCAGGAAAAAGAAAACAAGCTTTTGGTTACTCTGACCTCTGAAACAATGACTGTGCGTGGGCCAACACAAAGTCAAGAGGCCATGAAAAAGTTATTAAATGCAGATACAGAGCAGAAAAGAAACACAGATGCTTCTCATGAAGAGTATAAAAGAGAGACTCAAGATACATCACTGAAGATTGACGTGACCACCAAAGACCATCTGATGCATATGGGACTAACGATGGAGGAGAGCTACTGGAAGGTGATGATTACCTCTTACAGTGAGAAGGTAGCAAAGATCAAGGATAAGTTTAATGTGGACCTGAAAGAATCAGACGTTGGTCAAGGCAAAGTCAATGTCAAAGCTGTATACAAGAAAGATGAAGAAAATGCCTCCATGGAGAGCCACGCTGTCAGAGAGCTTTTCCATTTATATCAGAAAACTGCCACATCTCCCATGAATGTCTCCCAGTCCAGTGCTGCTACTGGAATATGGGGTTGGTCGTGGCTATGGTAGCAATCTCAGTCTAGTGTTAAACTCTTGTGTTATTTGCATGCTTACAGTGGAATTTGTATATATTTCATAATGCTACCATGTAGCTTTGTATTGTGTCTTCTGAAACCTTTGTTCAACCCAATCTCTAAATTCCACCATGTTTGCTGAAACATGGCAACAAGAAATAAAAAGGTTTTTTTTGCATGTTGGCGTTTGTGTGTAATAACTTTCCTTTTATCTTGTGCCTCTTCCTACATTTTAAGGCAACCTCCTATACTCAGTGTTGGGAAGGTTACTTTTAAAATGTTTTCACTACAGATTACAGAATACACGCCCCAAAATGTATTTTGTAACGTATTTTTTTGTAACGTGTGCTCTGAACCCACAGAAGGATAACGTTACTCAATGAGAGTAAAGTATTCTGAATACTTTGGATTACTTAATATATTATCATGCTTTTTACAACTACATGAATCTACTATTGCTGTGTGATTTATTACTATTATTGAAGGCTACTCGCCATACCAATACCAACTAGATTTTTAAATCTTAATATGAAATGAGCAACAGTAGGGTGGACATTAGGTAAGGCTGCACTTTTTGCAGCGGCCGCGTATATAAAACAGGTCCGCCGAACTGTAAGGGACCTCTGGCTACGTCGGGTTCCGCTCGTAGCCGAAAACTAGCTTTACTTTGTTGACTGGATCAACTTTGCTAGCGAGAGACAGAGAGAGGCGTTGAAAGGCTGCTCCAACGGAACTTACTGTTTCGGAGGAAAACACGAACACAGTGTACAGTCGAGTTTTAATAGCTTACTTACAACCACGAGGCTATTCTTTAGGGTTATGCCTGTAACACTCTGCCTATTGCCTTCATATTAAATAATTTTTTGAGCAATAATTTTTAAAAATATTTCTTCACGTCATTATGCAAGTAGAGATGACATGGGCCGCGAGCTTGAGACCTAGACATTGTTTTGTGTGGGTTTAAACCGGCCTGGAATTACCAAAAATAGACAGGGGACAGCCTAACAGAGGTGGGCAGTAACGCGTTACTGTAATCTGATTACTTTTTTCAAGTAACTTGACCAACACTGCAGCCTAACATATGAAACAAAGTAACTGTATTCTAAATACCACCTGTTTAAACGGTAACTGTAACGGAATACAGTTACTCATATTTTGTATTTTAAGCACGTAACGTCAGTACGCGTATTCCATTACTCCCCAACACTGCACCTATACTGCATATAAGATTTTCTGTAGGTATACTGTGTATTAAAGGATCATTCCCACTGTATACTGCATCTAAAAATACATAAGATTAAATTAATTATAATAAATGAGGACAGAGGGGCATTTTTAAGGCTAAGAAAAAAGTTCATCACAGCATTTTTAAAAATGTTATAAAAATACAAACAGAACACCAAAACCTTTTACAGTGAGTGGAAAATGAGTAGAATTTGTGAAATATCAGCAGAAAATGTACTTGAGGTACTTTAAAGTTAAAACCAAAATTTTCAGTGGATTCTGGCATTCTGGTATACATTTGACCTTTTATTTGAGTTATAGGCTATTATTAATACATTTCCCTCAGGTATCATAGTTCTGAAGGGAGTCAAAGATGAAATAAAAATCAATGCAGTGTTCGTCAGAATCATATGAGACAGAAGATATTTAACAAAAACGATCTTACACAAACTCTTAAAAATATCTGAAACATAAAGCAGACAACATACATGTAACATAAAGAACATTTTCTGTAGTTTTCTAGCAATGAAGAAGGATTTAGTTTCCAGAGTCAGCTAAGCGAACAGACCTCTTGCCAACACTGCTGGAAATGACAGAGGTGCACTTGCGTGTTTGGAGTGTGACGCAGATCCTTATTGCGGAGCTGCAAGCTTTCGCTTTCGTTTATAAGGAAGTACCAGTGTTTAAAGTAGCGAGGCAGGAGTAAGTCATATACGAGGTAAAGTAATATTTTCCAGGTATATTTCTGTTCAGATACACACATTTGTACAGGTTTGGCTAAAATGTAAGACATAAGGAAACTGGAAAGTGGAGTGTATCCGAGAGTGTAGCTCTGCAGGATAGTCGGAGAGCAACGTTAGCTAATTTATGGAAACGTTTTTTTTATATATAAAATCAGCAAATAAAGAATTGCTGGTTGTTTGAGTAAAAAACACACTGTTGTTATGTCGTCTGTTTGTGTTGTGTTTTGAAGGAAGACGATCAAAATCGGAAACATGGACTCGGACACGGACACGGTGGAAGCCATGGACACTGACGACCAGAGCGTACGTAAACTAGCACCGAATCAGAATACAATAATATTGTTACAGGAAATGTGGTGTTAATGCAGTCATTAAGGAGGAGCGGCGTTCAAATGTCACTTTTGACACCACATTTTGTTTGATTTATTTTTAAAAGTCTTTCTTCATTATTATAGATGCAGCATTCTGCTTTGAGTGACAACCAGCAACATTCATCACCTACAGATACAACTGCTGCAGTAAGTGTTTTGCCGAGTTTGTGTGCTTATGCTTCATCTGTTCTATAAAACATAACCAGTTCCAGCTTTTATCCATATTCTTGTAAAAAGTAAGTAAAAGTGAAAGCACACAAGCTCAGCTAACCTCAGCTGATCAGGTTCATGAGTGAAGAAACTTCATAAGGTTGCAAATTTGTTACAGGAGCTTTGGTGTTAAAGGGTCATTAAATAATCAACTTTAGTGAATATCCACCTTCATTAGCACCAATAAACTTCTTTTTTAAGTTGACACAACACTTTTTTTTTATACTTAAAAAGCCGTCCTCCCATTATTATAGGTGCAGCATTCTTCTTTGAGTGTCAACCAGCAACACCTAACACCAACTGATACACCTGGTGCAGTAAGTGTTTTTGTGAGTTTCTGTGTGTTACGTACGTTTTCGAGAATTAAGCACACAAGATCAACATAATAATCTCAGCTGATCCACTCTGGAGGTTCATCAGTGAAAAAAACTTTGTAAGATTGCAACATTTTGGGGGTTAATTCAGTCATTAAATAGCCATAGTTATTATCTTCATTGGGAGCAGTATGCTTGTTTTTGTTTTGTTTTGTTTTACTTTCAACACAAGAGTTTGTTTTTATACTTAAAAAGACTTTTTATCATTATTAAAGGTGCAGCCTTCTGCTATGGGCAAAAATGAGCAACATCTAAAACCTACCGATACACCTGCTGCAGTAAGTGTTTTGATCAGTTTGTGTGTATATGATTAAGTTCTCAGTAACACAAAACAAGCTCCAGCTCCAAACAAGATTATGTGAAAGTGAAAGTATTGATTACACAAGATCAATATGATAATCTCAGCTGATCAACAGTGGAGGTTCAGGAGATACATGATCAATGCTGTGTAAAGCTGTTCAGTGTGACTGTGATCGCCAGTGAGAACATTTGTAAAGTTGTTCAAGCTGAAAATGTGAAAATATGACATGTGGCTAACCTCACACTATTTATCTGCATTGTAATAGTGAAAAAAGAATTCTAAAGATATAAATTTAAACAATGATTAAAATGGCTTTTAAATATTTTTATTTTCATTGAATATCATAGGATTACACAGATTTACACTGCTTTATCAATTGTTTATTTCATTTCTTTTTATCACAGGTTGAAGATGGAGCTCTCATTGTTCTCTCACTGAAGTGGACAAAGTCTGATGATGAACCACAAAAAACAAAGAAGCCTGAGACTAGTCTACAGAAAATGCTTCAGACCTGGTTCAACAAATGTATACCTAATGTGG